CCCTCTTCCGACCTTTGATGGGGTGCCTCTGGTGCCAGCGTCAGAGGTTAGGAGTTTAGGTGTGTGCCTGAACTCCTCTTTAACGATGGAGGCCCAGGTGGCAGCCACTTCCAAGTTGGCCTTTTATCATCTTCGGCTGGCTCAGCAGTTGGTCCCCTTCCTTAGCCGCAATGACCTGGCCACTGTGATCCATACGACGGTTACCTCGAGGCTAAACTACTGTAACGCTATCTACATGGGGCTGCCTTTGTCGCAAATCCGGAAGCTGCCGCTAGTGCAGAATGCTGCAGCCAGACTGTTGATGGGTCTCTCTAGGAGGGACCACATTCAGCCTGTGCTGAAAGCGCTGCACTGGCTGCCAATAGCATACTGGATTCGCTTCAAAGTGCTGGTACTTACCATTAAAGCCCTTTATGGCCAGGGTCCAGCCTACCTGAGGGACCGCATTTCCCTATATGTTCCCCCAAGGGCACTACGGTCAGGGAGTCGTCATCTCCTGGAAATTCCAGGCCCCAGGGACATTGCCAGGGCATTTTCGGTGGTGGCTCCTACCTCGTGGAAGGAGCTCCCGGAAGAGATCCGGGCCCTGCAGGATCTTTCTCAGTTCCGCAGGGCCTGCAAGACGGAGCTCTTCTGCCAGGCTTTTGAGCAGTGACCAGAGCCAGGGCATTTTCGGTGGCGGCTCCTACCTGGTGGAAGGAGCTCCCGGAAGAGATCCGGGCCCTGCAGGATCTTTCTCAGTTCCGCAGGGCCTGCAAGACGGAGCTCTTCTGCCAGGCTTTTGAGTAGGAGCCGCCGCCACCACTACTCCATCATTGCTATCTATGCACCATCGCACCATCACCACCACCATCTGGTTCCCTCGGGGTGCGAGGTGACTCTGGCAGGAGGAGGGATGACAGACCATGGGAATGTTACCGTTGGGATTAAGATCTACCCCATCTTGTGACAAATGGAGCACTGATATTTTGTTATTGTACTTTATTGTTTTATGCTATGCTGTTTTTATTTGTTTTAATCTTGGCACTGCATGCGTCCTGTTAGCCGCTCTGAGCCTTCAGGGTAGGGCGGGATATAAATCCAAAGATAAATAAATAAATAAATAATAAAACTTGAATGCAAATGGGGCATTTTGTCTTGCCCACGCCACTAGGTTTCATGTGGCCTTTCTGAGGTCTTTGTTGTTGTTCAGTACCTCAAGCAGACTTACTCAGTTAAATGTATATTTGTCGCTTTAAAGGAAAAGCAGGATCTGTTTTTAAAAATGTTGAAGGACAGCTTGGGGGAAGGAAGGATAGATGGGTTAGTGATGGAATCGTTTTCAGCCAATCGGTACGGTTAACAGATGGAGCCTGTTTTCTCTGAGCTGCATCTGGAAGAGCAGACGGAGTACCTAAGCAAAAGGAGGCAAGTGTGTGTCCCTAGGGTATCACATCTGTGTATTCCCTAAAGGAGTAGAAAATGGTTTCAACAACAGTGTATACGTATACATTTCTTTTCTTTCTTTTTTTACCATTGTCATTTTTGATCAAACAAGTTTTTCAGGATTCTGGATCAACACAAAAACCTGCCTGACCTGTTCATCAGGGGCAAAAGCAGGATGAATAAACATGAAGAGTATCGATCCCTTTTCCAAACCACCATCAAAACAAACAAACAAACCACAATCCACCTCCAGGCCGCCTTTGGGTATGTGCCGGTTAGGTTCATGAAGTTCTAGCAGATACTTCCCAGTCTGTCAAACAGAGTGAGATGCAAACACTTCCCACTGCCTTATAAGGCCCTCCGTATCTTCTTTTTAGGCTGGGCCCACAACGATGCCTGTAGATCCAGTCCCGGCCTCCACCATGCAGGGCGGAAGTGACAAAGAACACCTTTACAGGTAAGCTGTGGGGTTTTGGGAGGTGTTTTCATGGAACTGCCTTATACCAAATCAAACCCTTCTGCTTTCGTGTTCTGTATTGTCTACTCCGGCTGGCAGCACCTCTCCAGCAGTCTTTTACATCATCTGCTACCTGATCCTTTCCCTTGGAGAAGCCAGCGACGGAACCTGGAGGCTTTTGCATGCCAAGTTAGGTTTTGCCAGCTCCCGGTTGGGAAATACCTGGAGACTTTGGGGGTGGAGCCTGAGAGGATGGGGTTTGGAGAGGGGATTCAGTGGGGCATAATGCCATAGATCCCCCCCATTCCAAAGCAGCCACTTTCTCCAGGTGAACTGATCTTTATTGCCTGGAAATCTGTTGTGATAGCAGGAGATCTCTAGCCGCCACCTGGGGGTTGGCAACCCTGTGCCAAGCGGCTGCTCTGCTACTCAGCCACGGCCTTTCCCCGTGTGCCTGGAAGTATCCAGGGTGCGTTTAGAGTACCACTTCCTAAATCAATGCCGCAAAAGTAGAAAAAGGAACAACCCTCAAAGCATGAAAAACTAATCTGTGACTGATAATGGTAGAGAATCTTGAGAGGGGCAGGAAACCTGGGGGGGGTGAGAGGAGGTGCGAGAGAAAGATGATTGGCGGGAGGGGAGGGGAGAGAAAGTTTCAGACACAGCTGCAGTCAGGGCTCTTTTTGTAGGAAAAGCCCAGCAGGAACTCATTAGCATAATAGGCCACACCCAACAGCAGACAGTCATTAGCATATTGGGCCACACCCCTGACAGCACAGCGCGTTGGCATATTAGACCACACCCCCATGTTACCAGAAGTGTGGTCATCCAGCCACACCCACCTTTTGCTTCTTATTCTGTTTACCTTGTTTGTTGTCAAAACCCAGGGCTTTTTGCATGTTAGGCCACACACCCCTAATGTAGCCAATCCTAATGAGTTTCTGCGGTTGGGTGTGGCCTGTTATGCTAATGAGTTGGCCAACTTGGAAGCCAGCCGGAACTCCGTTCCTGTGTGTTCCTGCCCAAAAATAGCCCTGGCTGCAGGAACCCGTGGAGAAGGCAGCTCTGAGCTTCTCCTCCTATGAGGATCAACAGCCTGACCTGGGTGGCCCAGGCTAGCCCAGTCTGGTCCGACCGTGGAAGCTAAGCAGGGTTGGCTGTGGTTAGGACTTGGACGGGAGGCCGCCGAGGAAATCCAGGGTCATCACGCTGAGGCAGGCAACGGCAAGCCACCTCTGTTCGTCTCCAACCTTGAAAACCCCACCGGGTTGCCATGAGTCGGCTGCCGCTTGGCAGCAAAAACCAAACAAAAGGGAGGGTTGGAAGCAGGCCCGTAACCAGGGCTATTTTGGGGCAGGAA